TTTTTAGGAAGACTCCCATAGGTTTTGTACACGACTCCAATCGCGGACGTATGCTGGGAATCGTGGACTATATTGTTCTCTTTTTTTTTTCTCTGGTATTTTTCGTCCACGGTTTGAAAAGATGAACACGTACACATGCACGCACACACATCGTCACCGACACCACGAAGTAACACCCATCTACATACCAGTAAAAACTAGCAATCGGAGAAAACGGCAACTAAAGTTGAACGCCTTCTAAAACAACACTTTGCGTCAAAACGACAGAGTATTTTCAGTTGGGTTTCTCGTTGTGGACACTTGATGAATTGAATTTATTAAATCTGCTGTTTTTCACTCGTTTGTGTATTAAATAAACAAGAAATAAGAGAAAAAAAGATAAGTGTTAGTTCGTGAAACCGAAAAAGCTGCAAAACTGTAAATTTTCGTTTTCACGAAGTAACACTCTTCAATGTATTTAACACGAGTAAAGTGCAACTTCAGGTCAGCGCGCGTGCGCTCATACAACTTGTTACAAGAAAAGTGTTACTTCGTGAAAACGTTTTTGCTCACTTATGAGCAGAGTGCGCGCCATGCATTGCAATGGAAAATGGAACTTGAGTGTTACTTCGTGAAAACGAAAATTGTCACTTTTGCGCAAAAGTTGCCATGGATACTTAGCGTAATTATTAAAGTAAAGCTCTTGAAGCTTTGAAACTTCGTGCAATGGTAGGCCTTGATGAATAATGTTTGAAAATCAAAAGAACTGAAAATCGAAAAAAATATGCTTTAAAACGGTAGAGTGTTACTTCGTGGTGTCGGTGACGACATGTTTACGTTACATACCTAGTGTGGACATTCCATTGCTTTCGTGTAGTTAAGAAAAACAGTGAAACTGAGAAAACTCTTTCAACCAATTGTTTTTCTATGATTCCCTTTAGTGTTTCTCTTCATTCTGCCACAGATAAACCTAACCCAAAAATGCCTCTAAACCTGTTTTCCAGCAATGGGGAAACACTGTGTGGACTTGCCCATAGTCCACACAACGTCGCCTCCACCTGGTTTATGTTGACCTCTTTTGTTCGGAAGTCCACACAGTGAATGCCTACCCAAATGTACAGGGGAATGGAGCTGCAGAAAGGCTCCATACATACATGTTTACCAGCACGTTTGTTTATGGTGTAAATCGAGGATTTTCTATTGTTCTTCTTCCCTTTTTCTTAGTGTATACTCTAACTTTTTCGCAACAGCTCTCATTGGTTTTGTACACGTTTTCTAACCGGGAGTCCTCGGTTTGGTTCCTGTCCTCAATTTTTCGATGATTTTGCACGTGTGTGTCCTCGATTTTACACCATAAACACGGGCATGCATAAGTGGTGGACACACTTAGACATTATTTTACCCCGACTTTCCTGACCGGCCAGCCACTGCATATAAATAGTGACTGACATCGTCTTTGCATGGTCGTGCGTAAGCGTACCGTGCACGCACGGTTATATCGTTGTTGGCTGGGCATTGTGCCCGCACTTGCACTTGTGCGCGCACTTGTACTGTTTCCTTACACTCACCCTTCTTTCACAAATGGAAGCAACTAGGCAAAATCCGCGTTGTGATTGGTTAACCTTTCTGCATTCTTCTAATTTGCATAAAAATATGAATAATTCAACAAACTCAAGTTGGAAAAGGCCTCGTGGCTTCGCCACTCGTGCGTGCTGACTTAATCTTTGCTCCAGTCGCTTCGTTTTTTCCGCAGCTCCGCCACTCTAAGCCACGATGGCTTTGGCGAAAGGCTAAGGCATGGGCGAAGTGGCATACGTTTATACAGTCACTGCGCCAATTCATTTATTACATTATCCGAGGTAGATGGGCGGAGTTTGGTTACAAATCAAAATTGATGATGACAAAAGGATGGAAAAGTGTTTAAGACCAGCCAGCCGGCCGGCCGCTAGCAGGTCTTTATGATTCATTTAAGACCGGCAATGTGACGGGCTCTCGACCAATAGGAATGGGCCAATGGGTAAACTGTCTTAGGTATTTATGCATTTCATTTACATAGTTGGGAAACTTTTGACGTAGTAACCCAAAAATTAACCATTTTTTGATTTTTTTTGTATGCACTGATAACAACAAAATCAAGTGTTGATTATTCAATCATCACTGTGATCATATCTCCAAATCAATATCTTGTCAAACAAAACAAATAACTGGCAGGATACGATCACCCAATTCAATATAGCGATCGGCTTCTACCAAATTAGGGGGAGGGTTGTTGAAAAAGAAATGGGGGTGCACCTTATGTCCCTGATCCAGATATCATGGCAAATCTTGTCTACTTTTGCCAACAAACCAATCAGGAATTTGAGGATGTACAACAGGTGATATTTATTCTTCTTACCTGCTATTGCTGACAGCATCAGAACAAAAGCTGCTGCTCCGTCCATTGTCCAAGATGCAGATGAATTCTGAGCACAATCCACTACGCTGTGGGATTTTTATGAACGACTCACACAACCACGCGAATTAATAGGCAACTACGCACGTAAAACTCAAAACAACGAACGCGAGAGAGCCTCAACTTAAAACCTTACTGGAAAATTTTTCTGATTAGTGTAATGAACGACTCACACAACACGCAAACGCAACCTAATAGGCAGCTATCTACGCATGTAGAGTACCGAACGACGATCAGGAAAGAGCCGGACCACCAAGACTAAACCTGATTGACGCAATGATCCAGACTCCGTTAGTGTTGATAGTATATCACCGAGTACAAAACGCCACTCGCCCGCCTCAGCACCTAAGCAGCCGCAGACAACTAACAGGCTGACGTCATACCAAGCCTAGCCAATCATGAAACGAGCCTGAACTTGCCATGAAGGCTTCAACTTGTATAATTTGTTCAATCTTACAGTATGGGTGGAGCTAACGCTGGAAGCGGGAAACGTAACAGCCAATGGGCACCACCTTGTAATTACAGTTTCCAGTTTTAACAAAATAGCATCTTGAAATTAACAAAATATCGTCCTGAAATTGAACAATGACGACCATCGCGGTCATAAACAGTCACGAATCGATATGGAACGCTGCAGCACCGCGTACGAGCGGAAGCGGCTTCCGGTAACAAACACAGAATCCTCAGCAGCAATTAAGGTTGGTCTAGAAAATTACACAACCGTGTAAACAACGAACCTTTAGAAAACGATACGCATCGAGAGGGCCGTAATATTACAGATATTGCAATTAATATAGTTTGCCTCTGATTGTCAAGGCAGTATTGACAGAAGCCGAACGAGTCAGAAGGCATTGGAATACGAAATGTTGGCGGTGAAGCCTCTAGAGCCATTTGCCCATAGACTGTGTGCATAAATATACCTATATGCTGCCGGCACATACAGCACAGGGACGTAATCGTACATGTACAATGATAACGAAATTGGACATATTATATGAGAACTCAAATTGTGCCAGCGAAAATAATTTCTAACCAGAATTTGAGTGGGTTTTTTTCTTGCAAATGAATAATTTAAAAGCAATTTTGCTTAAAATAAAGTGATAACAGTTCATCTCATAATATTGTAGGGTGTACTGTTTTCGGGGTTCAATTTTATTTAATAAAAGGACAGACAAAATAACTTGGTGGCAATCACATAACATTCCAATGTCTAAATGGCTTGTAATCACTTCCTCAGAACAATTAGTCAGTGTAATAATTTGAGATTTACCTCAGTAATCTTGAACAACACTCGAATCTGGAGCCTCGAGTTTCATGGAGCCAGCCGGCCGGCCGTGAACGATCCACTACACTCCCAACCTCGTCCCCAAGGTGTCGAGCAGTACGCGCCCACTACTACCTGCTCTCTCACTCTGGTATTGGATCATTTGCATGTGCAAGATTTTTGCACACGTATGCAAATGAGGAACAGTCTGGTGCCTAGATAAGCGTTACACATTAGCGTTTGTTTTCGTCAATTCGTAGCAGCGCGAGCACGGCGTGAGTTACGAAAACACGATTTTTGAAATCAAACTGTTACGATCTTATCAAGACAACATGCAGTATCATATTTCACATTAATATGAGCAAATTGGAAAGGAAATTAGTATTTTCGAGAAGGCGTGGACGAATGATTGCGAAAACACGTACTGCACGTTGTGAATATATTGCACCAAGTACACGATAAAAATCCATTACTAGCCAATTGCGGTATCCAATCTGGATACAGGAAGAAAGTTTCCTATCCAGGGTTTACTATTGGAAACGCGGTTGGAAATAAAGTAAGCACTGTAGACGAGGTTGCTACACTCCATATCTGCACGGCATGCAACTGCCTGCGCACGCGCATGACAGCGATGCCTGCTTGCGCGTGCATGCTGACCTCACGCTGACCCATGTCTCCACTGTAAACAGCGCCACCAGTAATTTACCTGAAACTCTACAATAAAATGATTTGATGCTTTATGGGCTCCGTGCATGAACAGAAGAGGGCGCTTTTTGCAACACTTTCGAGAGCCCCTTGAACTTTAACAGTCACCGTGTTGTAGTAAACATTTGATAATTTAAAAATATAACAATCACTGTGTTGCAGTAAATAAATTCAACTATAATTTCAAAAAGTTTAAAATGTAAAATTTGAAAACGAATACAGCATGCTATAATCAGCTTGACAGAAGCTACATTTGTAAATTGGAGTCACTTAATGTTGATAATTATGTTTGGTTTTTAAATATAAAAACATATTTGTTTCAATTTTCAACTGAAACGAATTCTTGCACAAAGAGCTTTTCGATGTATGCTGTTATGCTGCTCATACCAACTGTATTATCGAATGGTGATCGGGGCGACTCATTTCATTCAAAAACAAAAATGAACGGGAAGCATTATGGGTACCTTTACCGCCATGATTCATAAAAATGCATTCTGCGCGCGCAACGCGAGTCACCGGTGCTAACCTCGGCTCATGGTAAAAGCTGCATACTAGACAGCCCCTGGATAGGTTCATATGTATGATAGGGATCTCTACATGTCAGCAGTCGATTGATATTTCGTTGTTGGTCGGCTCTGCAATAGCCAACATTTCTGTCGTCATTTCTTTCCCCTCAGCCTCCTTCTCAGGCTTCTTCTCGCCTGGTGTCCGCTCTCGCTTCAATCGCAGCTCCAGCAAACAGTACATGCCCAGGGCGAACACGAGGATGCATATGACGATTGAGATCACGTGGTAGGCACACATGGATTGTGGGATACCAAGGGCCAATATGGCGGCGGAGCCCAGGGACTGCCAGAAGCACAGATTGCCGAACGCTGCCTCTTGTTGACATACAAACAGCATTCCCAAAAGAGCTATATACAAAAATGACAATAAAGATCAAAGATGTACAGTCGTTTCGACTCAAAATGTAAACCTAAATTTGTAAGGTTTACAAAAACTGTAAGTCAAGGAGATTAAACAAGTAATCACAATTCATCACAGGTCAACAAATCACAAGTCAAATCATGGGTCAATCACGTTTTTCACAAGTCATTCAGTCCCAAGTCAAGGGATGATTAAGCAGTCCCGAATCGGTGACACATTCCTTCATATATCAGCGTTCATTCACTGTCACCTTTCTGTGATCGACATGTGATTTGGCTTTTTATTGACTGTGATTCTTTTGATGTCACTTGTGATTTGATTGACTCGTGATGTATATTGTAAATTACATGTGTTGTGACTTGTGATTGACTTAGTGTTAATTGTATTTGACTTGTGATCGACTTGTGACTGTGACTTGTGAATGACTCGTAATTTGATTTGCGATGGCTTACTTGAGCTTATCGTAGCAATGCTTGCTCTCGCAAAGCCAACCGCCACAGCCATCAGAACGAGATGCCACAATCTGCCCTGGTCAGGGTCCCAGACCAACATGAAAACTAGTACCAGCAGGTAAGTAGCGCCCCCAACGATGAAGAGTGCAAACCTGCTGACGCACTTCATCAGCCGACCAATCAGTAAGGATGAGATGCAGCTGGAGACGGAACTGCCCATCATGACGTAGCCGACAACCTCGATCCCTCGTGTGCAACCAACGAAAAACTATGTGACCAAAGTTAGTGGATACGACCAGATAATTTCAGACTACTGCAATAACGGAATCAATACACTATTTGATTTACAAAATGCCTATCTACAGGGTCTATATACATGCTGAGGTTCAAGTCACCATACGTCTAACTTAACTTTTGCAGTGGTTAGTTTTAATTTGGTTGGCAACTTGCACAACATGTAAAACCGATAAATCCAAGCCTGTTTCGGTGAATCTTTCGGTTGTGCGCAGGCGTGATCATTCGGCATGTTAGTCTGGTTCCCAGACCAAACGATTCTGACTATTTCTGATGAATCTTAGGTCAGGTAGCCTCCGGTAATACATTGTACATGTATTTCTTTTTACGAAAATGTCCGAAGTTTGCCGAATTTTGTCGACAATCGGATAGCGCCCGAGTTTTTCCAAGTATAATATTGTTTTAATTAACTGTTTATTGCTTATTAAAAACTTTTTTTAATGAGTTGATAATTAATATTCATTGCTTTTATTTAGAAAACTTGAAATTCAACGACGATTTTGTGCATCGATCGGATCGTATGCGCGAACTTTTTGCTTCGTCATGTACTATTTTAAATTTGACGACCGTTACTGAGATTTTCCAAAACTCGGTCTTCATTCGGTTCCGCCTGCTAACAGTGCTATTTGGGTGCCTAATTTTCAAGATCCCAGGTCAACATTAGTCAATGTTTTCTTACAGAAATATCAAACTATATTATCATCTGTATGATATATGAAGCAAGTGATTTATTTTAAAAATTTGATAGGAACATTAAAAGCTTTAAGTGATAAAGCAAATTCGGAAACGAAGCCGAGCTTTGAAAAAAAGGCCGTCAATGTCGTCATGCCGGTTTATTTTTAGCCACGGAGGCTGCCTGACCTACAATTTAGACGTGTGGACGTCGGGGGAAATTGTCAGGTCGAGGAACCAGTCTATCGGCATGTCTGCTACCATCAAGAGTTCAAACCCACCTTTGTAAAATGGCCGCCCATTAACATCACATCCACTCCCAAGTACAACAGCGTTGGTATGAGCATTGCAATGCTCGGGTTAGTCATCAGGCGGAAGGTGGCGGCAAGCTTTGACTTCAGTAGGATTGAAGCTGAGTGATTTTACGTTTTTATTTCGGTCCTCAAAGTTTTCACGGAACATGGGCGCCGCCATCTTGGATTGAGTGCGCCCTCGCATGTTACTTATTTATTTATTTATTTTAAAATGAGGTCTCGGTCTCGGACTATGAGGTTTCGGTCTTGGTCTCGGTCTCGAATGGGGAATTAGTCTCGGTCTTGGTCTCGGTCTCGGACTATGAGGTCTCGGTCTTGGTCTCGGTCTAGGACTCTGAGGTCTTGACTCCAACACTGTCGAGAGGGCCGTAATATTAAAGATATTACAATGAAGATACATGTATTGTGCCTACAAAGTTCAAGGCAGTGTTGATAGGATACGCCCTACGAGTCAGAAGGGATTGAAATATGAAAAATTAAATCAAACCTCTTCGTGACGTGACAATGGAAGGGAAGCCTAAAGAGTCATTTGCCCATAGAATACATGCGTAAATACATCCTAGCCGGTACAGATACAACTTAACGGAGCGTCGCGATCCGATGTGTACACTTGGCTCGGTGATTATGATACTGAAACTGCGATCTTTAAGCTCCTTGTCTCAGGGCCTTATTGCCTTTAAATTATATACAAACAGCTAGTAAACAGAGCAAAACAACAAAAGTATTGTATAGGATGGGGCGTTGGGTTCTATAGGAATGGGTTAGTGTTGCTAGGCGCTCTCTGCTCGTAAAATAAAGTTGGTACAGACGATAACGGTACCTTGATTACGAGACTTTGCTAAATACGCGGATAGAAGTACAAAGTGGGATTTTCTTCTCTCCATTTCTGATGTATTTAATCATTACAATCAAATATGGACAGGCAGCAAGTCGTTTTGTACACGTCATTTTTAATACGCAAAGCACATCAACTGATCAACTAAAAAATTAAACGAGTGAATGTTTCTATGGTTTTTTTTTATTTCACAAGCATGTTCATATTCACAAAGCGTATACAATCATTTGAATTATAATTGCACAATATTGGTAAGTATGTGCTTCAATGAGATAAAGATTGCTTCCTCTTAGCTTCTTGTTATGGCAGCTCGGCATCAAATGAACATAACACTTTATGTGTCAATACTCATGTAGTTTTCTTCTTAATACAAATTGACCCTTAGTTTGAAATTAGGGTATTTTGATGACCCATACATCCTAGTAATCACGTATCAAAATGATATAACTGAAAAGAATATTGTCTAAAACTGTATTAATTAACTTTGTTACACATAAATGTATACACGTATTTGTATTTAAATATTTTCCATATCGAACACCACAATTACAAATGCCAATAAAAATGTTACATTACGGCAGCAATACACTACACACCTTATACTATTCACCTAAATTATTATTTGACTATTTGATATCGTGAGTTCAATTCCTTACATTGACAGCAAAAATACATCGGTTCATGACATGCTTAAACATAATAAAGCAAAGACTACATTTAACACCATTTCATACTCGGAACGAAAGCGAACGCGACCTTGTGACGTCATGCCAACTTTTCCTGCCGGGAATTCGCAAAAGAACACATTTCAACACCAAGGCATTTCGTAGCGAATGCTTTCCTTACGTCAAATGCGCTTTGCAGTTGCAAATGTGTAAAGTATGAACCGGCCTTTAAACTCAAAGTTTGATCACTAAAAAGATTTGAATTTTCAAGATGGTTTACCACTAGCCACTTCGATTTTTTTTCATTTTGTGTGTGAAATATCGCGTTTTAACAATTCAAATCTATTTATGTAGAACACTGCATGGAAACGTTCTATATTGTATTGAAGATTTACGATAATAACACAATAAACAGCGTAATCTTAATATTATATACAATAAACAAACAACTATGCAGCCAAAGCACTGCAAAAGTTTAGACGTTTCTGTTTAGAGCGGAAATACTTTAAATAGATATATATATATATATATATATATACTTTACTATTATTATTCATCAGGTAATTCTTTTCCCTTATTTTTGAATTTTTTTGAATTTGAGATAATCTTGTTTATATTGCATTCCACGTAGGAAACTTGGCAATAATAGGTTCATTAATTTTAATATAAACTGTGAACATTACCCTAATGTATAGGTTTTCCCGGCTATTTTAAAACATATTGCACTCAAATTCACCAACTCCAACATTCAATTTCGTCCGGGCAAAATTTCACACCCGTTATCAAATTCGATTTAGTCATTTACTATTCAATTTCAAAGTTTGGTCACCCTCTTTAGTCACCTGCTCGAGAAAATTCGCCATCACTAAGCTTTTGCCGAATGGCAGCATTCAGAGATCAAATTCGTCTTATATAAATCAATCACACGATTTGAATTTCTGAATAACGTCTTCGGCGTAGATGAGACAAAATTGAATAACCCGAGAAGAAAGTGTGTGCTTATTGTTTCAATTTGCTTGAACTGAATTTGAAATTGTCTGACAAAAGACGAAATTGAACATAAAATAAAACGCAATTAAACTTAATCGATGTTGATTAACCAATTTGAATATTACAAACAGTAAATTCGAATGACAAACGTTTTAAAATAGCCGGTAAAACCTATATTTTTTTCCGGGAGATACTTCTTAAGCTAAAGACAAAACAACTCATAAGAGTCCGTAGTGGTTATTCTAAATCTTTAGTGTATCCTTACTTTGTGTAAATATTCTTCCTACAAAGCATGGTATTTATTATCAACCTTAATATTATCTACCGTCGCATTTACTTTTATATAGAGTGAAATTTTGTCAGCGCTATCGGAGAGAATCACCTGAATGCTTCAGCTGAATTAACCACGGCGACATCCAAGCAGCTCCAATCGCAGAGCAAGACCATTCTGCCATTCAGTAGGCTCAATGCGCACTACCGTGGCGACCACACTCTCATCAAACAGGTTAGTGACCGGGGTGTAGGCATCATAGTTACCGATGAACACCTGAAATGAATCCCAACGCAATCAACGAAGATTTGTATTAAAAAAAATAGCCTACTTGTAGTAAAGTCTGGGACCTAAACTACAAAAAAGTGGGCATTCTTAGCTGACGGGGTCTTCCTTCGAAACAGAATTTCAACAAACCGTAATAACTACATAAAGTAAACTGCTTGTCTTTGGTGGGCACTCACTTTTCTGATCATTCTCAGCCATGTTATAGACATAATGACTTATTATAGACATTATAGACATAAGTTTCTGTTTCAGCTTCAGAGCGTTTTGCTATTTTGGGACCAAAATCTGGACTAAATTGGACTAAATTGGTTTTGTTTAAGCGTGTGAAATTTTTCGTGGATGGAATTGAATGACGGAGGTGGTGAATTTGAATGAAAAATCTTTTAAAAAAGCTGAGAAAAACAATCAAAAGCAGGACATGCTTTTTTGTTCACACGTGGTATAATCAGACGCGATTTCAGAATGGCTAAATGGTTGCATGAGCATGAAACCGTACAAAGTCGTAAATAATGAAGTTATCATATTGCGATAAAAGCCTAAACAAAATATGAGAAAATTAAACCTTTACATTTTCTTTTCAAAACTGTTTTACGAACGAAAGTTAAATGCAGCTTACAGCAAGACTTAGTAAAGATTGATGTTTACCTTAATGTTTCCTTTTCCATCCGTCACGTGTTCACGGTCGGATGAGGGCTGCTTCTTATACGACACCTTGTACGCAGTCACATATACACCGTAGCCGCCTTGTGTGGTGACGCCCGTCACCACTGTACTCTGCACGAGGTCCACCTCGATCCAGGGATTGGCATCGTTACTGTACACAGAGTGAAGAGAGGATGAGGAACAATGACATAACAATACCCTGCAAATCCTGTTGTGGAATGGATTTGAAAATCAAATATTATTATTGAAACACGTTACAGTATGCAATTCAAATGTGCATGAGTCCGGGTTGGGCTTTGGCCGGGGATGATAACTTTTTTTTGGATAATGGAAAGGAGAACCATTGCAAAAAAAAGAAAAAAAATGCCAAACAAAATGAAACAAAACGTACAGAAACAAAACCCCAATGAGGCAATTAGATGTTCATTAATTAAACACACTCAGGCGCGTTTTGTGGCATTGTAATGATACAGAGTGAATATGAGAGTGAAGTGTTAGGTGTTGTATTTCCCTTTGATATCTACCTCCAGGCTGCCCATCCGTTGTCAATGTTGAGGCGTGCCTTCCGGGCTGGATATGTAGTGCCCAAAATACTGGACGCCGTGATGCGATCATCTTGGATTGTCCCGTCCTCCATACCAAGGGGCTGCGGACTGGAACACTCTACTGGCAACAAATGAGTAAGCAAATGAAATATGTATTCATATTCATAGTTTTAAAAAGCAGTGATACTTAGAGAATGATAATTTGATCGTAACTACAAATTTTACCTTACAAACATTAGATTGATGGTAGGGCCTCGTTATTGCAAATAAGAAAAAGCCCCCCCCCCCCCCTCGAATTTGGCTGTCAGAAACATTTTGAATTTGGGAGAAAATACAATGAACATGACAATACACCAATGGTTTTTCCGTTGTTTATCTTTGTTGGTTTTCTTGGGGGGAGGGGGGGGGGGTTGCACAAAAACACCTAAATGGACTTTTTTTCAATTGGGAGGAGTTGGGTAATTAAGCAGCTTTCGATGAAACTTGATTAACGGATAAAAAAAAAATTAAATGTTCAAAATCAATGCAATAACCTTGTAATAGAACAGATCCATATGCTTATTAGTCAAACCTACGTTTTGGGATATCTTAACCCTGCGCAGAGTGACCTCCGTACCTTGGTTACGCAGGTGACCGAATTTTTTTTTTTTGGGGGGGGGGGGGAATGAGGGCCAATGACGGTCACCTTCCATCTAATCCTCATTCAACCCATGCCAAATCAGCTGGTTCAATGAACTTTGCAGCCAGGGCTTCACCCAAGCCGATTCAACAAACTTTCGACCAGGCCTCCTGCCAAGTCTCATTGAAACATATACAAACACCTGTAACTTGACACAGCCATCTCCCTTCATAGCCGCAAACCACAGCCGCCAGTCAATTATCTTTTAAGTGCACTGTCTGGCAACTGCCTGGACACTGTCTGGCTACTGGCTTTTGTTGTTTTGACATGAATAGGGTCTTGCGTAGTGCGGGGAAGTACCTGTGGCCCAAAGGGCCACCGTTGGCGAGTTCTGATAAACATTTTTTGTAAACGCTGCGCAGGGTTAAGACGACTAAAAGTTAGGTATGTTTCCACGAGTCAGATAAGGTGAGTTTCTTCGTACCAGCCGAAGTAGGTTTCTCCGTACCAGCTGGGGTAGGTTTCTCCGCACCAGCTGATGTAGATTTCTCCGTATCGGCTGGGGTAGGTTTCCCCGTACCAGCTGGAGTAGGTTTCTCCGTACCACCTGGGGTAGGTTTCTCCGTACCAGCTGAGGTAGATTTCTCCGTATCGGCTGGGGTAGGTTTCTCCGTACCAGCTGGGGTAGGTTTTCCCGTACCAGCTGGGGTAGGTTTCCCCGTACCAGCTGAGGTAGGTTTCTCCGAATCGGCTGGGGTAGGTTTCCCCGTACCAGCTGGGGTAGGTTTCCCCGTACCAGCTGGGGTAGGTTTCCCCGTACCAGCTGGGGTAGGTTTCTCCGTACCACCTGGGGTAGGTTTCTCCGTACCAGCCGAAGTAGGTTTCTCCGTATCGGCTGGGGTAGGTTTCTCCGTACCAGCTGGGGTAGGTTTCCCCGTACCAGCTGGGGTAGGTTTCTCCGCACCAGCTGGGGTAGGTTTCTCCGTATCGGCTGGGGTAGGTTTCCCCGTACCAGCTGGGTTAGGTTTTAGATTGATTGTAGGGCCTCGTTATTGCAAATATAAAAAAGCCTCCCCCTCCCTCGAATTCGGCAGTGAGAAACATTTTGAATTTGGGAGAAAATTCAATGTGCATGAGCATGCAACAAAGGTTTTTTCAATCTTTTTTTTTTTTAATTTACTCTGGGGAGTTGCTAGACTCGATGACAAGTTGTTAGAAACCCGTATTTTGTCCTTGAACTTCAGTCGAGCTCCATCGGCGCGGCTGGTATACGACTAGTACCTAATCGGCGGGGTTGCGACAAATCTAACGACTTGACGATTACGTTCTAGCAACGTTATTCATATATGCAAGCAGTGCAATACATATGCTGTGCATTTTTCCGGTGAGATCCAATTGCGCACCGCTATGCAAATGAGGTCTCATTGATTCATTCCGTTACATGTGGAGTTCTTTTTAATACGTCAGGGACATGTTTGCAGTTCTGGCGACGTTTTAACGACCAATACACTCAGCTTGCTCAATTATGTATAGAAAAGAAATGTATCATTGTGATATACTGATTTATTTGAGTCGTGCATGCCTTTTAATGAGTTTTGTGAAGTTACACAACACAAAGTACAAACCCTCGAAGTAATGAGAATGATCTTCCGTGCCGGCTTAGAATACACTCTGGAATCTGAACCGATCAGAGTGCTCCCATAGAATTCGCAAAATATCAAAATCAAAATACTCCCATATGTTGTGTACAAAATTGAAATTGTTTTCGCCAAGTCGGTAATTTATCAGAAATAGTCAGCATCATTTTGTCTGGGAACCAGACTGCGCGCATTACACCGATATTTTGCGTGCGTGGAACCAGTAACCGGTTACCGTACGCAAAACAAATACCGACTTGGCACCAAGTCTAGGGAGTTGCACGAAAACACCTAAATGTTTTGTTCGAATTGAAAGAGTCGTGTAACATTTTTGAAGCAAACAAGCAAACAGGAAACATATCTCTTTTTAGCAGTCGTTTAACGTTATTTGCAGCCTTCGATGGACCTATATATTCGGTAAACAAAAAAGTTCGATCTCAATACAACACAAACCTTGTGATAGAATATATCCGCATGCTTGTTTGTCATACCTAAGATATGGGTGATCGTAGGACGACTTACCAGCTAGGGTGGGTTGCCTCCTTCCCGGGCAACGCTTCCGTATCTCTTGCATGACTTGCTTCATCCAGTCATCCGGATTATCAGGATCAGGTTCCGGTGGGGGACCGGAGTAACACACCCTCTGCTGGCTCTCCACACCAACCAACAGCACTTTGGAATTAGTTAAATCAAAACATAGATGCAAGCCAATAATGCCGTGATGGTCGCTCTATAAAACAATGTGGCTAATAAAATATCAACTTGGTATTTTTACAACTATACGACAATCAGAAGGAAACAATGTATGTTTCAGGTGTAAGACTGCTGCATTAGAAGCCATTCAAAACGTTTGATGTTTTTAAAGTTCGAGATTCACTTCTTCTTTTTTTGCAATTAAAAAGATAGAACATAGCTTATTTGACTTACCAATTCAAATTTGTGCATGTGTTCCAATTCGTAAACCCTTTACCCATACCGCACAGGTACAGTATGCATTCGGTACATGTACAACATACCGTGTATTGTGTAAAAGTCCATCGGAGCACCACATGCATGAAGACCAGTAAAGCTAGACCTAAATCCGCCTCATAGGTCCGACACTTCATAAGTCCGACGCCTCATAAGTCCGGAATTTTGGACTTCAATGAGGCGTCGGACCTATGAGGCGTTGGACTTGTGAGTGGACCCCCGATACCCGGCCTTACAGTACGCTTTAAAGGGGCACAACATTAGAAACACACTCTTGGAAAAAAATGGTCTGGTTAACTCATTCTTTATGATGGGACTTGCGGTTTTGCCGAAGTCAGTTGAGCGTGATCGGCTGACTAATAAGGTTTACGCACAAAACCCCGAGCCAATGAGGTTTCGTATAGAAAGCTGGCCGAATCACTTTTTGCGAGAGTGTGCCGGTAATTGCTAAGCCTGCATACTGCCAAATTTACCAATGGCATCCCTATATTTTCTCGTGCTAATAAGACCCATTTTGGTCCCTAATTTTATCAAATCTGCCCTTAGATAATAGCCCAAAGGCTAGGGAGATGATCCTGGGCTATAATCGCGCGATTCCACCGATTTTTAAACTAGACGGTCTCGTTTTTTACAAAAAAATGTGGGGTCACTTTTTATGCATGCAAACGACTCGCGTAGAAATTTTTGAAAGCCTAATCAAAATTATTGCGCCCGTTGTCGGTCTTATTGCGCCATTCTGATATATCTTCTGTCCAGCCCCCCCCCCTCCCACATCCCCCCCACACCGAAAAAAATAGTAATTAAATACTGTTTAAAAATGTGCTCGTTTATTTAGAAATTTATGAAGCATAATATCCAAACTGATTGGATGTTTCCAAAGTGTCTTTCCCATTTGCAAAAGTTCTTTTTAAAAGCCCATCATCAGCCATTAGAAACACACTCTTGGAAAAAATGGTCCGGTTAACTTATTCTTTATGATGGGACTTGCGGTTTTGCCGAAGTCAATTGAGCATGATCGGCTGACTAATAAGGTTTACGCCCAAAACCCCGACCCAATGAGGTTTCGTATAGAAAGCTGGCCGAGCCACTTTTTGCGAGAGTGTGCCGGTAATGCTGAGGCTGCATACTGCCAAATTTACCAATGGCATCCCTATATTTTCTCGGGCAAATAGGACCAATATTTGGACCCTAAATTTATCAAATCTGCTCTTAGATAATAGCCCAAAAGCTAGGGAGATGATCCTGGGCTATATTCGCACGATTCCACCGATTTTTAAACTAGACGGTCTCGTTTTTTACAAAAAAATGTGGGGTCCCTTTTTATGCAAACGACTCACGTAAAATGTTTGAAAGCCTAATCAAAATTATTGCGCCCGCTGTCGGTCTTATTGCGCCATTCTGATATATCTTCTGTCTAGCCCCCCTCCTCCCCAGCCCCCACACCGAAAAATAATAGTAATTAAATACTGTTAAAAAATGTGCTCGTTTATTTAGAAATTTATGAAGCATAATATCCAAACTGATTGATGTTTCCAAAGTGTCTTTCCCATTTGCAGAAGTTCTTTTTAAAAGCCCATCAGAGAAAGCTGGCCGAATCACTTTTTGCGAGAGTGTGCCGGTAATGTAGGTCCTGAAATCCCCAAAAATGTCATGTTTTGGATTGTTTACTCAGCCTATTTCAAACATCTTGTTTAAAGAAAACCAACCTTATGTCTTACCATTCCCGAGAATAGACGGGGAAAAAAACCACTTGTTTACATCGGACACGACGGAGTACAAATACGTTTTTCGTGTCGTTCTCAGTGTACGATATATACAAGTTGTGTGTCCAAAATTCGTTCTCGCACGCAAAATACAGGAACAACACAAAAACGCCCAGTTTTTAGAGGATAGTTGTGTGGATGTTTCTCTCCTACTTTTAAATGTTATCTCCAATTAACATCATCTCGGTCAAAGCGCCCAATTGTGCTGTTCCAGGACCCAGTGTCCCTTCAACGCAACATATACGTGTACGTGTCATGCACTATAACAATGACTGTTTTCAGTGTATGCATTATGCAAAGTACGTTTGGACACACACGATTGGACCAATCTGAAAAAAAACCATCTGGTTAGTGATTAGCTGTTTTCGGTAAAATGTCGCTCCAAAAGTCGAATGGTAGTTATAGCGGGAATATAGCACACTCGCAAAAGAGTGAAATTTGTTTTTGCGTCAAATTTTCTGGCCGCGGGAGAGTGACGCGAAGAATGACTGGTTCAGTCGGTTAACTTTGCTCACTCAAAAAAGAGTGGTCATCGAATCAAAAAAAGAGTTAATGCGTTAACACTCGGACGAGAGAGTGAAATTTGCACGAAAAGTGCGTGCGTGCGCGTGCGCAGTTAGTTGCTGTACAGATCTTGGTTGTGAAGGTTGTTCTGAAAGGCCAGCTCCGTATGTACACAACCCAGGCTCCACATTGCGATTACCAGTATAGTGCAGATAAATGTAAATCACAAGTAATACTGATATCGTGTGTTCATTGTTTGGATGTTTGGAGGAAAGAATTAGAAGTTAAGAAACATAAGGAATAAGGAATATTGGTGTCATTTGTGTCTTATTCTGTCTGTCCACTGAATAAAATTGTCGGATTGATCCACCGACATGTCAGACACCAACCCAATGCACCCTTCCACTCGTCCATCCATGCCCCCTCGAAACGTTTCTCTCCCGACACCATGGTTCCATACAATTCCCCCATTTTCCCTGCCCCGCAAGGTGACATGTCAAGTTTTGTAGTTGACATGCCGCATGAAGTTCCCCGTGTAGCCTTTGACCCGGAGCACTCATTCCTGTCGCTACCGGGGATCCTCCCGCCAGCGACCGGCTCGTTGCAGTGGACAACCGCAGGGTATCAGGCCGAGGCCTCCATGCCCACACCGCCACCCCACAGCAGAGCACTGGAGCAACCACTCTTTCATGGCGCCGCATCATACGACGGAGCCACCGATGCACCGATTGGTCCACCGATAGTTTCCTCACCACTCGTCGGTACAAGGCAGGTACATGGAGCCAACGGGGACACGACAACCCAGCACAGCAATGGCTCCGCAGTGCAACCGTGGCACGACGGACAAGGGCGACTGCACTTCGATGGCGGTTCAATGATAATACCGACGGCTGGCGCACCGGATGGCGCTGCGACGGTTGTGGGGGCACCGACGGGTTCATCGGTTGCACCGACAGGTTCATCGTTAGTCAATCCACAATTCATAGGTGAGCACCACGAGCACGGAGCATGGGGCGTCGGTTCGGCGCAGCAACCCATGGGAGTCGGTCAGCGACCATGGAACGGTACACCAGGGTAAGATTATGTTCGTGCCGCTGGCGGTTCAGGGGTAATACCGACGGCCAATGCGCCAGGTGGCGATGCGTCGGTTTTCGGAATAACGACGGGTTCATCGGTTGCACCGATCGGTTCATCGGTTGTCAATCAACAGTTCATCGGTGCACACAACGAGCACGGAGCCACAGGCGTCGGGTCGGCGCAGCAACACATTGCAGTAGGTCAGCGACCATGGAATGATACACCAGGAGTCGGTCAGCGAAATGTTCGTGCCGCTGGTGCTTTTCCACAACATTCAAACACAAGTACGTTTGCAGCAGCTGCAGGGACTGTAGATCGACCAGTGCAAAGGCGGTTGCGTCCACTTATGCGACCCGATAGATACAATGGGACGACTTCATGGACTGCATACTATCGACACTTTGAAATGTGTGCCAGTATTAACGGATGGGGGAGATAGAGAAAACGGAGTATCTTGCTGTATCCTTGGCCAGAGCAGCCCAACAGGTGCTGCAGGGTCAGACAAACGATGGGACACCATTAACATTCAACGGTCTGGCGAATGCTTTGAAAGCAAGGTTTGAACCTGATGGACGGAAGGAACTATATAGGGTGCAACTTAAGAACAGGCGCCAGAAAAATAGAGAGACTGTGTCGGAGCTTGCACAGGATATTAGGCTTCTCGTTGACAAGACTTTCGGCGAGCTTCCAGCCGCCGGGGTGGCAACAATGGCCAGAGATTATTTTCTTGATGCTTTGGCAGATGGAGACACGCGGACACGGACGCTTCAAATGCGTCCCTGTAATTTAGAAGAAGCACTCACAGCTGCGATCGAACTTGAAGCGAAGGGGAGTGAAGGAACAGGTGGTTGTCAATGAGGTCAGTAAATGTGAACCCCACGACAGTACCGTATCCAAGCTTGAGCAGCGTATGGAACAGATAGGCAAACAGCAACAGTCTTTGATCCGGCGAGAAAATGACTCCCGAAAGAACCAGAAAGGATGTTTCCAATGTGGAGAACAGGGCCACTTCAAGCGGGACTGCCCCAAATGGCGCACCCCAAGACAGAAACAGAACAGCAGGGAAACGAATAAAGGCCGACTCCGAGGGCCGACGGTCAGCCAAGCACGAAAGGCCACCACAGAATGTTTTTTCATAGCGGAACCATAGCCCCGGTTGGGGCGGGCCTCCATGTAGCTGGGCACATCAACGGAACTCCAGTAGAAATGCTTCTCGATACGGGTGCGACTATCTCCATCGTTTCCAAAGAGTGGTAGATCAGTTTGATAACAAGCCAATAATCAAGAGTTCTAGCGTGCAAGTTTTCCAAACAAACGAGACATTGCTAAGTGTTTATGGGGAGGCAACAGTCGAGCTTC